AAAAATTTGGTATGGAAAATATAAATAAATAACTAAAATCGTCAAAACGTTAAGGTATGCATATTTTTGGCGCTGACTGTATGTAAATCGTATTTGTATGCATATTTTTGCATCTTTGAATGATCGATCGTACAGCTGGTTAGTCGTTCGTTCGTTCGCCGAGTTCACTTGTACTACACTAATTGCGCTACCGCTCACTGATAGGTAAATAAATCAACGCTCATGGTGCATGCGCAAATTTCTATGTCAGTTTATGGTCAGCTAAATTACTTTTCAGTAGAATTTATGATCGACTGCACGAAATGTAGAGACTGGTTTAAGATATTGGTGAGATAAATATTTAGCACCAAATGACAGCATTTTAAACTGTCAACAGGAGTCATAAGAATAACAAACCGGACATTTTTTGATATCTCCTTTATTCCCACCATCTTGTTAGTTTTTAGATTAATTTCCTCGGAAGTTTAATCTTGCATTTAACAGTGCATAATTAGAAATAACGTGTGCTCGTATGTAGCTCTTTGCAACCAAACACGTAAGTAGGCCTTATTAGGGTGTTACTTATGGAGCTCGATTAACTAACTTCTTGGTTTACAACACGGATGATACCAGATCTCGCGCGACATATTCTAATGCAAGACAAACTACCAACCGTTTCGTCCATTCTTCTAGTTTTTATACCTTCCACACTCTGCACGATCTCATCTGCTAAATAGCTGCGAACTTGCTATTAATTCTGTAAATACGGAACTCGTTCTCTTCGCCAGAAGATATAAGGTGCCTAATACCCAGCAATCAATAGCATTCCGTCTGCTCCCTCTGTCAGGATCCAGTAATTATAATTTAATATAAAATTTTATTTTTCCAGCAGATGGTAAGTCTCTTAAAAAAATATGCTATGTACATGTTAATCAGGTCATAAGCTATCTGTATGCCAGACAAAATTTCACATTTATAATATTAGTAGGATTTCATTTAACTTGCCAATAAAATTGATTTTCAATTCCTAAGCTGGTGGCAACCATCAACAAATTTATTTTCGAAATAGATGCATCCTTCTTTCGTTTGACACCCAGATTAAAATATTTTATTTTATTTGTTAATTAAATTGATTTTGAATTTCTTATTAGGTGGCAGCCACCATTAAAAATATGTTTGAAATAAAGCTTTTAGCGTTTAGCTTGTTATTTAAATTGAGTTTAACTTTTTTAACAGATGTTAAACCTCTTGAAAAACATTTTCGCAATAACTCGGTTTTGAACTACTTTCCTATGATAACCACATTGTTGTAATATTTTATTGAAGTTATTAATTAACCGATTTTAACTTATTCAACAGGTGGCAACCCCTCTTTTTTATCACAAGTAAGAATAGGCAAGCATATGTTTGTATGTAAATGTAACCTTTATGATATGGTACATAATTTCTACACATTGTAGTTATATGTGTTGCGCATGCGCTTTACTCAACTTGACTTTCTGCAGATTAAGGCAAATATCACCAGTAAATAATATTACCTTACACCATGCAACATAAAAATCACTAGACACCTAAGTACATACTTATGCATGAATATTTAATTAAGTACGTATGCACATAAATTCATATCTATTAAGGCCAAACCGGCAACCACCAACAGCATCCAATGCAATGAGAAAGTCTGAAAAATACTAGTAAGTGATATGAACATAAAGCCTAAGGAAGTCGGCGAGGATGATGACTCGGTGAATGCAAGACACGCATTTTATCACGTAAACGTCAATTAAGTAACAACAAATTATTTAGTCAAACTGGGCGTTTGCATTTACACATGGCCAGCCTCTTAATTTGATGGCAGAAAGCACAACTAAATAATGGCTTTGTCATATATTCATGCACACACACACACACACACACGCCACACATGGGTGAAAGAAGCTATTTTGTGGCAAAAAATAGAAGAATTCGACATGCAACACCCCCACGCAAAATCCAGCTTTTCCCATATAAGTATGCCAGTAATTGCAAAAAAAAAAGCGGCAAAAAGGCTGGTAAAACCTCTTAAATGTGATACTCAGCAATGTATGTGGACGTGAGAATGTACATATGTATGTGCCCATCTGTGTGGGTTGTCGTGGCAACTTAAAAATGCAAATTTCGCATAGTTTACATTTGGTATTTGATTATGCCCACAATGTCTAAATGACAGCTCAATAGCGATAAGGATAACATTTTAATAAACTTGTCAGTCATTAAGTGTCTTTTTTGCATTTAGAGTTTGGTTAGGTGGAGTTTTATTCTGCTCATATGCATGTGGCTACATTTTGTGACGCTTTAATAGAACACAATTTTTTCGAGTGGGCTGGACAGGTAATAAAATTTGCAAAGCTATTTGCTAGTTAGGTGCGTTAACGTGCAACATAATTTTTTTTTTTTTGTTTATACGGACGTAGAAATGTACACTAGGTTAGATGGTTAGGTTGAAGTTTCATCGAAGACGGCATATTTTTCCTGGCAGTGGCGTGGTATTCCTCGTTGAACCAACTGTTCTTTCGGTGTCGCTGTAATCCAATTCATTTTAAACAATTTTTACGTGGCGTATTCCAAACCCAATGCACTAGTACATCCAGGCTAATTTAATGAATTTGTCCTCTTCAGGAAATGGAAAAGAATTTTTGGCTTATTTTTAACCCTTAGCCGTTATTTTTTTTATCAATCCAGTAAGAGTCTCATTTCGAATACCTGTAGTCAAACCCTTATTTTTGTTTTTTGGTCCATCTAACCTTGATTTCCTTCTGTCAAACAGCCCTAATGAGCACGCATTCTATACCAGATTGAAAATAAACATTTTCTATACATTAGAGTAGGTGCGCGAAAAAGATCGTTTGACATTAATGGCTCTCATGCTAAAGGCGAAGTTTTACGAGTATCCGGTTTGAGTAAACTCAAGTTTTGTTATAGTTTTTACAATATTTTCACACATATGTGGCAAGTATCAGCACTCAAGTGGTTTGAGATTTACAAGTAATTGATTTGAGCGGGTGTATGTCATGCGTCAGCTTTCGAAGACGTTGATCGAGGACATGTTGCGGACAATGGTGATCAGCAAGCTGACACAAGAATGTATCCAGGAACAAAAAGGCCGTAAAATTATTTCGTGACCCAGCAACTTCCATTGCATCGAAATCGGGTCTAATCAAAAAGACAAATGTGGGCTGGTAGTAATACCAGCGTTCACTTGAACCTAACTTAAACTACATATGTACATACATACATACCAATATATTAAAAGAACTAATCAATTTAAAACAGCAGGCAAATCAAAGCTTCCAAATTCTTCTCAAACTGTTCAGCTGTTTAACGCTCTTACATTTGAACGATGAGATATGACGACAATATACCGTTAACTGTCAAAAAACATGACAAGTGTGCCTCTGTAGTGGGCTT